AGTTTTAATAAGAAGAGCTTTTTGGCACTTGCAACACAATTAGGTCATATCAGTGCCGGAGATTAGAGGTGTTACAAGAGAGTAACAAACACAAAAAAGGAGGAGGGGAGATAAAGACGATAGATGTTTGATAGGAAAGAAGAAGCAAACCACACCAGAGCACCCGCCAACCACCCACATTCGCTTGGTAGGAATCAGTCTTTTAAATGCAAGCAGAAAAAAGAATTTAACAACAGACACCGGTGATGAGGAATGAACCGTAGAGACTCGCACACTCAAAGTTAACTGCAAGTCTTGCTGCCTTTTCTTTAGAGCCACAGGTAAGGAGGACAACTCTATGATAACAAACAGGGGAGATAACACACAACAAAACATCTCGCAGTCACAGCCGGTTAGAATGACTAGCTTCAGCAAACAAGATGCTGCCTCATTATTAAACATACACCAACAACCTAAAACTATGTGTTTGATAAAAGTTTTACGCCGCTCACAACTACATAATGTCATACCAAAGTTAAAGACTACAAAGAATCTATAATCAGAAGGTCATAAACAAACAGAAGCGCCTTCTCAACTCAGCAGGATTTAGCGAGGATCCCTACTTAATTAGAGCGTGGGCTTAACTTTACCTGCCTTATCAGGGGGCTCTCGTGGCCTAGAGGTTAAGGTGTTGGCCTCTCATTCAAAGGTCCCGGGTTCGATTCCGGGTAGCGACCAACAAATTTTCTTCTCTAAAATTGTCTCCTTTCACATCCTTTCCTGATCTCTAACAATGTTCTGTCGTCTGCTTTCATTTCCACTTTCTGCCCCCACCCTCTCACCTCCTTTGCCCCCTCCTCTGGGCTCCTGACTCTTTCTGCAGCCTTACTACTGCTACTCCTTGGCTCCTCCTAACTGCTGTCTTTCTGCCACACCCCTGATCTTCTGGTAGGAAAGATCTACACCTAGCCTTCTCGGACAAGGGCGAAAAATCTCGGAGGGCCCGTGTGCAAGTTGCGCACGTTAAAGATCCCTTGGTGGTCTAAAATCGATAAGAGTAGGCTTCGGCCGCCACCTGGGCAAAATTCAAAATTTCCTACCAACGAAAAAGTATTAGGTGTGTCCCGCGCGCTCATATGACCTTATGCAGTTGCGAGCGCCGTAAAACCCTATACTAAACAAACAAACAAACCTGCCTTATCAACACTATTAGGTCATCTATGAGGCCGGACTTCTCAATTTAATGTCCGTCTCCAACAGTACTGAGCCACATTCGTTGAGAGCCTTAAAACTCCACGAAAGCACCCGAGTTAAAAAACACCCAGTCCGGGATTCGAACCTGGGCCAGCCACTCTGTAGTCCAGCATGATACCAACTAAGCTAACGAAGCACAATCCTGACTTAGACAAGTTTAGTTTTTTAGTAAAAATTTTACAGCACTTGCAACATTAATAGGTCATACATTTTTTTATAAAAGCCAAAAGACTAGAAGTGTGTGTTACTAGAGAGAGTAACAGACATACAAAAGAAGGAGGAGAGATAAGGATTAAGGATCACAGATGAAAGAGCATCCACTAACCACCCACTTTTAGACTTCAGAACAACTTCTGCTGCTCACATGGTGAAAATCTCAGAGAGGTGGGACTCGCAGTTTTATATTTATATAAAAGTGGTGCATTATATACTTTCCCTCCTCTTGCCATTAATCAATAATAATAATAATAAAGATAATAATAATTATAACAGCAATAGTAATAAAAATAGATAGCATTTGTATAGCGCGCATATTCCAGCTCAACAGCAAGCGCTATGACTTTACAACCTATACTATTTCCCCAGCAGACCTGACAGCATTCTGAAACAATCTCAACTTTCTGGGAAGAATACAGCACAAGCTGCCATTTTATTGGTGCTAAAACACTAACATACTGACAAGATCTTTCCCTATCTAATAGATAATCTATGGCCAGGTACCCATTCCCACCTGGGTGAAGTGAGGAAAATTCGTGTAAAATGCCTTTCCCAAGGACGCAACGTCAGGCCTGAGGCTTGAACCCCCAGAACTGCAACTTCATGATTACGAGTCTGGTGGTCTAACCACTAGACTACCGACGCCTCACTTAAAAATAAAATAGAAAGGAGAGAACCATCTGTTGTGCAGAAAGCTGAGCACTTACAACTTTCATCTACAATGTAACAATTTCTCCTGCCACTCATAGGACAAATCACAACTTAATCAAGTCACGGAAAATGAAAGTGTATCATCGTATAAAGAAAAAGACTAAACATTTCAAATTACAGAGATAATTTCCTTTGAAGGGTCCAGATCACATTTTACAATCCATCGTAAGATTATTCATCTCTTTCAAAATCATCAGTCCTCAACATAAGAATAAGAGTCATAATATACTGTATTTTGAGGGTGATTTTGGCATAAGCTTCCAAATGTCAGAGACTTAAATTCTTAAAGGTGAGGTCAAAACTCGTAATATTTTTTTACAAATGTAAAGTACAGATTTGCTTTATGGCACTAGGTCAATATTTTTGTTCAACTGCCCAGAAAATCATTGAGCATTCTCAGAAACCAAAGCTGTCAACATGGCAAGTCATCAGAATGTAACAGCATACGTTTTACGCCTCCATCGACACAACTTAGATCATTTAGGAGGCCAGCGTCGACCCGGCCTATCAAGGCCAACCCAGGCAGAGAGTTAGAGGGATATACGACCTCCCAGCAGACATAGGGAGATAAAAATTCTCCCAACTCGAGAATCAAACATGTTTTCTGTGTGCAGCAGCAAAGCACCTAACCACTACTCCAAATAGCCCGGTAACTTGTAACATGGCAAGAATAAAAGTCAACATTCAAACAGAACATGAAAAACAAACTTTAAAAGTACATACAAGTGTAATTCAATAAGTACAATGTACATGAGTGGCAAGTTGGATGGACATAGCTAAAATTTCTATAGATGTGCGTTTGTGACACTGTATCAGTATTCATCGCGAATCATGCATGCATTCGCTTTGTAGCTCAGTAATCATAACTACCATGTCTTCTTCCATACATCCGTGCACCCTACTGTCATGCTCACGGCTCATATTTTTGCATAGTTTTGTTTTAGTAAGAATTTTACAGCACTTGCAACACAAACAGGTCATATAAGTGCTGAAGATTAGAGGTGTTACTATTAGAGAGTAACATACAAATAAAAGGAGGAGAGATAAGGATGATTGAAGTTTGAAAGGGAAAGAAAGAGCAAACCACACCAGACACCTGCCAACCAGCCACATAGATAGATAGAAACAACAGAAGGACAGAAGAGAAGAAGGACCGACCAGTGGCATTCTCAAACTATCCTCAGAGGAGAAATGAAGACGAAAATCAACACAGACATTGTGACAGAAGGAACAAAGTTACCAGAGCATCCGTCAACCTTCACTAGACTAGTGAACAAGCTACCTTCACACATCATCAAATATCACAGCAGTATCCAAAGCCACAAAACCACAGCCTTTACTGATGAAGACCATCATCATCATTATCGCCTTTCTCACTCAGGATCAAGTATAAGCCATGAACAAACACTTTCCACTTTCCTCTACTCCGGACAAGCTTCTTGACATTATTCCATTCTAATGCCTTGTGAATGCCGCTGAGTCATTGAGGTGTCGGTGATTACAAGATCACTGTAAACAAAGTGATGACAGTAGATTCATAGCTACTTCCTGCTGAGGAAAAAATGCTAGTCACGTTAGCAGGGGACGGAACATTTCTCGCCTGGACTTGTCTACATAGAACCATATCTTGTGAGATGATGAAGAATCTAAGAAACTGACTAGAATCAATACACACAGAGGTTTTTTAACCAGTATTCTAGATTTACATTTGGTATTTTCTATTTTTAACAGAATGTTTGTTGAAGGACAAGGAAGGCTGTACAGGTTTTACTGATGACGTCTGTGTGACTGGTGGGGATGACTGCCAACATTAAATACATTTTCAAAAAGTGTTGAGGCACTTCTAATAAATAGGACTAAGACTGAGCAAAGAGAAGTGTGTCACAACGCGGTGGAATCAGGCACTTGTCAATTTTTGGGCATGCGGAGTTATGGTATAATCTGGAAGCTTGTTCATTTGCCTGGCTTTCAATGAAAAAGCTACCCAACAATCTTAAATACAAGCCAAGATGTTTAAGACTCAAGGAGGTGGGGTCGCTTGGTTTCAGAGTTAAAATTAGTGAGTAAATAGCCGCCAAAGTTTGGTAACTTCAATAGCTTGAGAGGCCTTGAAAACTGAAAATTTACATATTCGTGACTTTAAGCAACATTTCTTCAGCAAAATTCACATGGAAATGTGTTGTTTTATTGACATAAAAGGTGCTAAGCCAAAAACAAAAAAATTGATAAAAATTGCCAATATAGTGGAAAAATGCTTGTTTCTTTGATTTCCTTATTTATCATTTTGACAAGCGCCTGATTTCACCACGATGTCTTACAAATGTACTCTTTTAGAAAAAAATGTCTAGATCGTGAAAGCCCTCCTAAAAAGGATGTGACATGGAGATGATAAAGGGAGAGCAAAAGTGCTTCCTTTGAATAGTCAAAATCCATGTTATTCTCAGACAAATTGTTAGTACAGTTTGAACAAAAAACATTTGGCGGTTAGTTGTGACGCCTCCTTTTATGGAGTGAGGGGAATCCTGGCACACAAGATGGAGGACAATTCTGAGTGTCCATCCCATCCCTTACACTTTGAGAAATCCTTATGATAATTCCAACAACTGCACTAGAAGCACTGTCACAATCGATCAACTGTGGAAAGGATCACGCAGCCAATTCAAAGGCATTCTATAAGTTATAAGAACTACACTACATGACCAAAATGGCTACTAGTACTAGAGCTTGTGGTCTAGGAAAAACAGTCCTGTATCGTTCATTAAAAAGATTCTGTCGTCGTTGGAATGCAAAGAAGCATCGACTGAGGTTTGAAGGGTTTTGGAGTCAGATTATGAAGGACATTTTTTTTTTTAGTGATGGTAATATTTTTAAGGAGGAAGAAGTGTCATGATTTGATACAAACGGGGGTTAACTGAAAGGAATATCACGAGTATTTTACGAGTAATCTCCCTTTTACCAAAGTGACACATCTTTTGTTTCAGATAAAATAAAGAGAGTTCCAGCTCTGGTAAGTAGCTTCACAACGGCCAGTCAATAAACAACCATCATGTAACCGAGCAGTCGTCCTTTCATTCTTCACTGTCTTGTCCAGAATTCCAAACTTCATTTCATCACACTACACACCTAACCACCTCTCAAACTGCTGAATGCCTCCCAATAGGTCTTTAAGTGCAAAACTTTCGAAGTACAACATAAAATCTAGTAGGTACCGATAGCACCATAACTCTTCTGTATCAAACACGACTTTCGATGTCAAGTTTCAGATCAGCCACTTGAAGACGAAGAAGCAGCAGCAGAACTGTCATGTCCAAACACAGCTTATTCACACAATATATACACAGTGGTACACCATACACATCAGCCAGGGATCATATTATATCACATTTTTTAGGTGAACGCGCACATACTGCTTCTCCTGCACTGGCTTGTTGTACGGAGCACAGCACTTGTCGTTGCAGAAGGTCACGCACTTGTAGAGGCAGCCGTCCTGGTCCTGACATCGGATGCACTGGTACCTGTCGTTGAGCTTGCAGGAGATGAAGATGATGAGGACAATGAGGAGGAGGCAGCTGACGGGGATCACCAGCCCCAGTATCATGTTCAGTCGTGTGGCGGCCTTGTTGTCATGACCTGATCCCTCCGATGACGACGATCGGCTCGCTGGGTCTGGTGTAGATTTGTCTAAGAAAAAAAAGAAGCACATAGATAAATCAACATGATGACGGTCACTTAGTGCAGGGAGATAGCCAGCCCGACAGATAGATTTAGTTTATATTTTGTAAGAGTAAGAGCTTTACAACACATGTAGTACAAATTCCTGTGTGTGCCGTTGGATCAGTTATGAAGTTTCAGAACTTTGAAGCTTAATTAATAGTCAGTGTCTGCACATGAGCTGCTCAGAGTTTTGAGGGCTCTGAACCGTATCCTGTCATAGGTGGTTGGTGGGCAATGGAGTCGAGTATGATTCGACCCTACATTTTTCCTAGACTCTGCTGACAGTCTAGTCAGTGACTATAACTCAAACTCTGTCAATAGCAGCCACCCTGTCTATATCAGTCATTTTTGTCTAGACTTCGAATTACCTTTTTATAGATGGCTGTGTACACTTATACATGTACACATGCACACAAACACACAAGTGCACACACAGGTACACACACCGCACACATCAAAGGCAAAATATCTAGACTACTGTCTGTTAGTTCTGTACAGTACAGATCTGACAACCACTTTATGACCACAATAGGAATTTTTTTGAGAACCCCCCCCCCCCCCCCCCCCCCCCCCTTTGAAATTAGAAAAAAATGATAAAAAGAGTCTCAGGTACCCCAGTAGATTAAGATTACAATAAACAAACCAAAGCAAATACATGTGTATAGCAGAAGAGTAAAAAAGTGTATTTTCACATCATTTATATAAAGTCGCATGCATACGACCAGACAGAAATGGAATTTAAAAAACATAAAAGTTTTCATGCAAATCTGATCGGGGTTCTCCAATGGGTGAAAAAATATGTTATCGGGGTACTTGGCAGATCTGTACATAGACAAAAAGTGATGTGGTAAAAGCACACACATTTGCTCACCTTTAACAGACAAACGTTTCCTCCTGATCAAGGTCACAGGCTCAGGAGTGCCTGGCATAACTACCTCCGAGGCGTTGTCGGATGTTTCTATCTCTCCGGTGCCATCAACTGCAAAATCGCTGTTGTCTGACAAAGGACTCCCTGCACTTCCTGCGGGTCCGCCACCGCCGAGATCTGGAGCCACAGCACGGAGTGGTGGGTCACGCCCTGGATACTGAGACCCCCTTACTTGAGGCTGGGGCGATATTCCGAGAATGACTTCATCCGTTTCTCCACCAACTAAAATAAAGATTGCAAGTTTCAGTCTGTGAAACAGACGCACATCGATGTAAAAGCAGCTGAGAAAAAGCATGACAGACAGACAGACACAAAATCGGAAAGGGATGGCAAAAGAATTAAGATGTGAAAATAGTACTTTCCATTCAGGCCTACATAGAAAAGTGAGCAGAGCTTCAAACTTATTTCAGAACAAGATAAGAGTCAGAGACATAAGTGTTGATTTTATCAAATTATACAGCATCATGTGTAGGCCCAACAGTTGATGGAGTTGAACCTCTGCTCTGTCTAAGACGATCGCCTAGACAAATACCACATAGACACAAATATTTCATCACCATGATAACGCTGTGTGTAGTCACCACACAGCAGCCTTTGCCGGCAACTAAACTTACAAACATTAAATAGAGTATGTACACTTTATACAATTTCAAAGCAAGCAAAGCCTTTTGTGAATTTTACATGATGCCGCTGGCAGTCCTGTAGCCACAGAAAAAAGGTTTTGTGCACTGATGATTCAACAGAGAATAGCTTAACTGCTGTATGAGCAACAGAACAGTGTACTGTTTTAATCATGCATGTCATGTGCTCTGTTCTGTGGCTGGTACCTCAGCAGGCCACAGTATTACAACAAATCTCCCTAGAGCCTAGACGGATCAAAAGAGGTTGTATCTCACTATTCCTTTTCCTGCAGCAGGGTTCATCAAGCCAAAAAGTCTCGGGAGAAATACCATGACGAATGAATGAACAAAATCTGAAAGCAGAGATTGCAGTCTAAATTATTCAAGATGGCCACCCATTGTTGTGGAGAAAAGATAAATCTTAGACAGAGGTAAACACGCCTGGTGCAGTTAGAGAAAAAAAATGCTATGAGGGGATGTGGTATATGTGGTAGTTTGTCTAGGTGAACGTTCTAGTTAGAGCACAGGTTCAACTCAATCAACTGTAGGGCCTACTCATGACGCTGTTGTATTTGATAAAATCACGATCTTACTATGTCTCTGACTCTGTCTTGTTATGAAATAAGTTTCAAGTTCAGCTCTCTTCTAAGTAACCTGCTCCACTACAAGAGATCACAGCTTTATTTAAATCTGAAGAGACACACCTACCTACAAAACAAAATAATACAAAATATTAGTTTAAAATACTTAGTCGTAGATCAAGTAAAGATAGATATTTAAAGGCCTCCAGTACAGCTTCCCTCATACTGTTTGCCAGTCAACAAGTGCATGATCAATGAGAAACTTCAAACAGTAAACCAGGTCTCATCACTGCTTCACTTCAAGTCTTCAAAAGGAAGCATCATGACTATCATAAAAATTATTAATTATGAAACTAGGGCCCTTTTAAGTCAATCAAAATTACATCATTGAAGAAGGAAAGAAAAAAACATCATGATGGTATGTAAAATCAAAGACCGTGGTCTTTGATAAAATGCTGGTTGGTACGCAATGGTAATCTTACACCAGGAGGATGACTAGCCTGATTGTCAAAGTCAGAGCAAGATGGTTACACTACAGAAGTATCATCAGAAATAGTTTCACAGAGACCCCAAGTTCAGGTTCACGATGTAGAACTTGAATCTTTAAATATATCGAAGTGACTATTTCTCCGAACGTTCGGGAAAATAAACTTGAACTCTATTTCTCCGAACGTTTTCCGGTCTCGATATTTTTGGTTATTTGTGAGATTTAGGTGTCATCTTTCATTCTGCCATTCTACGAGGACGAGGACTTGAAAGAAATATTTTTTGCATAGAATTTCATTTCTAGAGCTAGAGATTTTTAGATGTCTGAATGTTTAGATACTTCAATTGTGGTCGGGGCAATGTTCCCGGACTATACTTCATTTGAAAATGCCTTCAAAAGCCACTGCGAGAAAAAAAAACTGATCAAGTTTGGCAGTAACCTATTTTGCGTTTAGTCACCCCAAAAACAAAAACTTTATCACACAAAATCCCTCTACGCATATACGCGCCTTACACACACACACACTGACACACACATGCGCGCGCGCACACTCTCTCTCACACACACACATTTGCGCGCGCGCGCGTGCACACGCGGGCCACTCCATTATTAAAATCTCGAGAATGGAAACCCTTCGGAGAAATAGAGTTCAAGTTTATTTTCCCGAACGTTCAGAGAAATAGAGCCGGCCAATCTTTATTCTATGATCTGATACAATTCTCAAAATCTCTGACACTGAACCTTTTGCTATCAATGACTAAGAACATAAAACTGGTGAATAAAATCAGTTCTGTAATTTAGATTTAAATCTAGTGTATACTCTTGAGTCTCTTGGCCTCGGCCTAGTCTAGATTCTAATTCTAGGATCTAGATCTAGATCTAGATAATATCTAGATCTAGATCTAGATCTAGTAATAAATGTAGATCTAATGAGACTAATGATGAAATCTAGATTAGAAACCAGAACATACACAAAACATTTTTATTTTTTTACATTACATACGAGCCGAGGCTCTAAGGTTTATGTAGATTTTAATGTAGTGTCTAATCTAGATAGTCTTTTTTTCCTCAAGCCTCCGTCTCTTCTCTTCTCTTGCAATCCGTTTCGCTTTCAGAAAAATTACGCTGGATCTCGATTCTACATCTCTAGAAGTCTAGATCTAGATATAAACCTTCAGATCTAGAATCTTGATCTAGATCTAGATCTAGATCTAGATCTAGTTCTAATATCAATCAATATCTAGATTTAGATTTCTATTCTAGATCTAGAATCTAGATCTAGATCTAGATAGAATCTAGATTAGATATATTTAGATATCTATTTTGTTGCTAAACTTCACTGTCCTCACCTTGATGCAGTGTTTAAAGGAAACGGCTCGGTCCAAACGATCTGAATCACCTGCTGGCCTTGATCTAGATTTTTATTATTTGTTTGAACTGGGTCAAGATCCAGATCTCTTGACGTGAGTGTGGCTGTTTGCTGTCGTCGGTATGCGGTCAACATGACATGGTGACCCTCTATTCATCCATCAATGGAAAATTACCAGAGTATTTCAGGATAACAAACAACCTCCCTGCCAATTTAAATGCAGAATCTATCTAGATCTATGTCTGCAGAATCAAGACCTTTCCAACGAATCAGAGTCAGAAGCGACTGAGAATGAAACAGTTCCCTGTCTGGAAACATTCCACGCTTGAGCGGTTACACTTGTTACAGGAGATGTAAACACAAGAGAAACTGCCTGCCTGCCCTGGGGCTGATGAGTAACCAAGTTGTTTTATTTTTACTTGCAAGGGGGACAACTAGATAATATTTTAATTATAAAAAATCAAGAGTTCTTTTCCTTGTTTCGAGTAATCTCATTAATCATTAATCATTATCTCAGCTGAATTTTTCTTTGATTTTTGATTTTTGCCGATCTTAGAAACTGGAAGCTTCAAAACGTAGAAGGCTAAGCCTACACTGATCATTCGTTTATCTTAACCCCTTCAATGCCATACTAATGTTGCAGGGACTTTATAACGCTATTATGTTGGGCTAAGGACCTTATAACCTCCTTGATGTGAGCCAATATAGCTAAGTTTAAAGGTTTGAGTGCTCAACAGAATTCTACACTACAGAATTGGGGCGAAATTCGTGTTTCCCTTGTTCATATTTTGAATTAAAACTATTTTAAAAGTCAGCCAATTAAAACCAACCTCTTTACACAAATATAGATCTATGCATCTTAAAAAAACCCAAACCTTTTGAAGTAGTTTTTGGAAAGGGGCCTTTCGAACAGGAAACATAAATTCTCCTCTTCCTCCAAAAATAATGTAGGCCTATTCAACATTTTGTGCATAGTTGTTTTTTGTGTGCTTCAAATGCAATTCAACACTATCACGCCATTGTGATGTAGCATTATTTAGCTAGACCTATATATGCCCACTGACACAAGGAAGTAACTGGGCTCCATACTGCAAAACAATGTACCGGTATGCTAACTGTTCTCGTCATCCCCCCCC